CTCATCACTTCCTCTTCTAAATGCCTTGAAATTGGCCTGTCTCTTTAAGAACCTCCTGCTGCTTCTGTTCCGTCCTGTCCCCTGTAGTCACGCGCACGTGGGGGTGTTTTGTTTCGCCCGTGCGCTATGATGCAGTTTACTTGGCATCTGAAAATACATTTCCTCAAAGGTATTCTGAAAAGAGCTTCACTGAATGAGAAGTAGTGTGGAGAGCAGCGGACAGTAAGTTTCACTTTCACTTTTGCTCTGTTACTGCCGACAGCCTGCAGGAGTCATGGGCGGGGTGTGTGGGGAGGTGTGCTCTGTGATGAGGAAGTTCGGCTTAAAGGTGTTCCTGGTCCCCACCTGTTGTTTTGCTCCTCAGCATGGCTTCATAAAAACACCGCAGGATTTCTCAAACATGCATGAATGAGTCAGAGCAAGGCTTTGGACATGTTTTTTATGAGTATAGCATTATAACATGATATAAAACTCAAAAAAGTAGATTTTACCTGATACTGCCCCTTTAAAATTCAGTGTGGCAGTAGCTGAGTCACTCTGACACGTACTTTGAATATGAGTTTGCAATATTTTCAAGGACTGACCAAAACATCTCCAACATTGTCATTTTCAGCATGAAATTCTACATTCCTTTAGTAAAATCTAGATCTTTAATTTAGTCGATAAAAGAAATATCTACAGTATATTTGTACTTATTAGTGTACCTTTCAGTTGATGTTTTGGTATTATTYATAGCATGTTTCATAGTGGAGTGAGTATTCTGACACACAGCAGCGKTAGCAGCACTTCAGCCTTTTTATTCTGATTGAAGTGTTTTTTTTTTTCAAGTGCCTGCACTGACAGATGATTCCATAAAAGCATGTGAAAACACAACTGATGGTCCTTTTCTTCTGCTCTCCTTTCACAGAGCTCCAGGTTCTTTGGTTGGCGCTCCTACTGGGTGGTCCTGCAGGACGGGGTTATAAACTGGTACTCCAAACAGTAGGTGCAGCTTTGATAATACAAAGGTTGTGAATGTGTCAGGTGTGTGTTTTCTTCTGAAAATTCCGTTGTAAACAGCTCACTTCCGTGTCTGTGTCAAGGTCAGACGCAGCTACGAATGTCAGACGGCAGGGCTGTAAGTCCCTGACAAACTCTCAGTGTTTGGTAAGACAAGTTTAAAGAAATGTCTCCTAATTGGACTTTTTGTTGGACTTATTTATCTCCATTTATTCTCCTGTCCTCCTTCTCCAGGTACGAGCCAAAGATAGCCGCCTGTTCACCCTGAAGTGCTTCGATGACAGTGTTCATCACTTCAAAGTTTCGCCTGAAGCTGACCCAGAAACAACCAGAAAAGTGAGCTGAACTCCTCCTCCTCTGGAAATCTTAACTTTCTAAAGAAAAAATCCTTAACACTTTCAGACACTCTATCCTCTGCATAGGTCTTTGATGAGGTCATTTCTAAAAGGTGAAGAACTTCTTTCATGTTTTTACTTTACATACTGCAGGATGAAACCTGTTTGTAAATGAAAATCTAAAAAAAAAGAAGTAAATGTATTTTTAATAGCTCACAGTGGTCAGAAAGAAGTCAGACTGAACTCTGACTTACTTCAGAGTTTGTTTTTTAACATTTTTTTAAATAATTCACTAAAACTCAAATGTGTCWCTTAAAATGTTGCAATTTGCCACAAACAGTTTCTCTGCACTTGACTTCTGCTTTAACTCATTTATTCTGCTCTAACTCATGATTTTGAAACAAAGAGCAACTAACAGGAAGTGGAAGATAATGTAACCAGTTTAAGGTGGAAATAATGCAATTTTAGACAAACAGTAAAATATTATTAAATATTCTATATGATCCTAAAATGGATTTTAAGCTAATTATGTAAATATTATGCATTTTAACTAATAAATAAAATCTGATATCCCAAATCTGCAGTGGTGGGCACCAGCCCGCTACAGCGCAAATCCGCTAATTGCGGACCTTTATATTTCATTTGCTCTTTAGTGGTCTTACTAATTTTTGTAATTCATTAGCAGATTTGTGCTTTCTAAAATTAAAATGCAGTACCACTAATAACTAATTATCTACCAGTCATCATTATGTTGAACAGCAGAAGGTGTGACTGTCAATGAATCACAACACATATGATCTATCCAACAGCACCCCGCCCAGATAAACACACTTATTGTGAAGGTATACATCCTGCTGACTGTTGCTTTGGGTCACGGTTCTGATTTCCCATAATGCTTTGTGTCTGCTTACGTAGCAGGAAGGCAATAGCAAAAACAGTTAACGTTTGTAATCCTTACTAAAATTTTGTATGTATTGATTTCTTTTACTTTACAATCGGAGCTCCTTTTTTAAAAAAAAAGTTTAAACGCTGGAGCTCAATACTTGATGTAATTGATCGAAGGAACGGGGATAGAGATTCAGAAATGATTAAAGATGTTATGCTGATGAAGCCTGACATCTGTTGGTCAACTGGAGTAACTACATGGAAAACTTTAAAATCCAAGCTCTTATTTTGAAGAGAAGATAGTTTCCTGTTCTCCCTGCTTTCGTTTCCCGTCAGAAATCAAATCCGTCATGTACCCAGAATTAGGGTTGGACAATATTGGCAAAAAAAATTAATC